TTAATGGAAAGCTAAGTTCTATAAAACAGTAACTTTCCCAGTATAAATGTTCATCTTTGATACTTACTGTATGTAATGTGTGTGTGTGTGTGTGTGTGTGTGTGTGTGTGTGTGTGTGTGTGTGTGTGTGTGTGTGTGTGTGTGTGTGTGTGTGTGTGTGTGTGTGTGTGTGTGTGTGTGTGTGTGTGTGTGTGTGTGTGTGTGTGTGCGTGCGTGCGTGCGTGCGTGCGTGCGTGCGTGCGTGCGTGCGTGCGTGCGTGCGTGCGTGCGTGCGTGCGTGCGTGCGTGCGTGCGTGCGTGCGTGCGCAGAGATATCTGTCCCATCCTGAAGGATCCAGCTGCTCTGACAGCAGTCATTGACCTGTTTGAAGAAGAGGTGAGGAGGAATTACCAGACTGTTGAGCTGATAGTAGGTAAGAAAACATCATTCTTAATGAAAAAACAATCTCCAGTAGTCTTGACTTACTAAACCTCTGTGTCCTAGTCTTGTTGTCTCATGACACTAAGGACAGGTATAGACTTTACATTTTAGTGTTGGTCTCAAGACCTCTTTTACAAGGTCTCTGACTCGGTCTCGGACTGGGCAGACTCCGGATTTTAAATCAGGACCACCACTGATTGGCTAAATCATTACTGTTATACGAAGGAAAACGCCCCTTTCTAAAACAACATATAACTTCAATTCATTCATAATTAGATTTTATCCTCTGGTAACGACAGCAACCTTCCCGGTGTTACAGTCTAAGTGAGTGACATACCTGATGCACAAGACGAGGATTTTTCATTTATAATTGTGGTCCTGGTCTCATCTCGGTCTGGATCCTTAAATGTTTTGGTCTCGTCTCGGCCTCAGAGCACTCTGGTCCCGGGTGTGTCTGGGTCTCGCTTAGTGTGTTCTTGACTACAACACTAGTATATTTTATCATATTATTTACAGGGACTCTACTTCATCATACATTAAAGTGATCTGTCAATGAATAGGGACCTTTAATTGAGAGCTGCCTTTATTTGTCAAATCAGGCAGCTACACCAGGAAAGTAAGAGGGACTGGGCCTTAAATTGGGATGAGCTTTTATCTGAAGTTTTCTGATCATTTTACAGAGAAATAACAAAAAAAACAGATAGTAAATCAGCACCAGCTCTTATTCAGGAGCTTTTCTCTGTTCAGGGAACCTAAGGTACTACAGTAGAACACCAAACACAGCCACCTGTGGAACCATTTAGGATGCAACCAATCACATTGAAAAGATAGGCTAGAAATGGATTGTACATCTGTAACGGTGGATAAAACATTTTGATGCAGAATCGGTACTTTAATTTCAATGAGTTCACTCGCTGATTTTGTTTTGGAGGGGGAAGAATTCCTGCAGTTAAGATTGTATATTAACTGTCATGACTGTGGGTGTGTTTTGTATATTAAATGAGCAATATGTACGATAACTACTGAATTAAATCATAAAATGACTTTAATATGTCATCATCAGACATTAAGAAAACATGCTGTGTTGAAGTGCTGGCTTCTCTGACAACAATGCAGCAGCCAGTATGTCCTCCTTCTAAGCTTGGATTCCAGTCTTGAATGGTCTGAATTTCTTATGACCAGAGAAGGAAAGCGGGTTTAAGGCACCCCAATGTGGTCGTTTTGGACGCCCCTCGGTTTGTCAGATATGAGACCAGTTGTCACAGCAAACGAACAGGTGTTGCAGCGATGGAAACAGGCAAGCGTATTGCATCCACCTGACCTAAAAAGAAACCGGTGTTTGCATCGCCTCTAGGAAGGAGGGGGCAGGGGGACAAATAGGACAGGTGGACAGGCACATAGAGGGAGATAAAAAAAAAAACACTTGCAGTTGCATGATCTTAAAATGAGACCAAAGTCTCGTTATTGTGGTCGATCAAAGTCTCGTCATTGTGGTCGACCAAAGTCCTGACTTCTGCATTATATTTTCTTTGGAGTGTGGAAAGACTGTCTGTAGGAATACATGCAGCAGATGTTTTGAATGTGGACTGCAGTAAACATTCTAAACACTACATGTCAGAGTTACATTTTGCTCCTTGAACTATATTCTTCCACAAATGCAGTAACTCTATCTCTGACTTTTTTGTTGTTGTGCAGGTTTAGATGCTCGTGGTTTTCTGTTCGGGCCTCTGCTCGCCCAGCGGCTTGGTGTTGGCTTTATCCTGGTCAGGAAGAAAGGGAAGCTCCCTGGAACGACTCTGTCTGTGGAGTATAATTTAGAGTACGGGAAGGTAAGGACACAACACACATACTCTGTCATTTGTTTTAGCACTTACTTTACCTTTCAGCTTTTTAACAATCAGATTTTCAATGCAAAGCTGGGGCAGATGTTTTCCGCTCTGAAGCTCATATACAGCTGTGACAGAGGAGACCATTCTCCTTCACAGGACGTCAAAGATGTTGATCTGTTGCAGACATAAAGAGTGCAGAGCGATGAGTCTTTAAATAATTTTGCCAGAGAAATCATTCTTGGTAGGGTTTAAAGTTACATAAAAAATAGTCCTAAGTGCATTTATGTCTTTAAGGGCGTCTTCTGTAACAGCACTTTGTGCAGTCTAGAAAAAGAAAGAAAATTAGCCCGTTTTGTGTGTCTGTCTTTTTGCCCTGGAAAAGCAAGAACTTTTGAGTATTTACTCCTGACCTTTAAATGTAGATATTGCATTAATGACAATGTTTTGTTTTCCTGTTTCTGCAGGCGGAGGTGGAGATACAGGAGGATGCGGTGGCTCCAGGACAGAAGGTTCTGCTCATTGACGACCTCCTGGCTACCGGTGGTGAGAACTCCTCGAGTTATATCTCATTCAGTGACAGGCTGATTGAACATTGAAATTTGGTGTTTTGGAGCACAAGTGATGTTGTTGCAAAATTTTTGAACAACATTCAGAAGTTGGTGCGTGTGTGTGTTTCAGGTACGTTGTTTGCTGCCTGCGAGCTGATGAAGAAGCAGCAAGCGGAGGTTTTGGGCTGCATGGTGGTCATTGAGCTCAAAGAGCTGAACGGCAAAGACAAACTAAAACCTCAAAGTATTTTCTCCCTGGTTCAGTACTGAGGACCACTAACACATGCCTCACTTGTTGGTGCTAACTAATGTTTGACTGTTGTTCCATCACCACACCACCTATATTTCCACATTTCCCACTTACATACACACAATCATTTGAGGTAATTTTGACATGTTTTGTGCTTCAGGTTATAAATCTGTTAAAGCTCTAGTAGCAAGGGATGGAGCGTTACCTAGCAAACAGTGGGCATATGAGAGCTTTTCTCACAGCAGACCCTCCCCATTAGTCTGTCGCTGAATATAAATCAGGTGTTGTCACACTCATGGATGAATGAAACTCTCTTTATGAACATGTAGGGTAGAAAACACAGCTGCTAGGTACAAGATGAACTTTCCTTCAACTCCTTTCATATTCCTGGTTTAGGATCACAGAACTAATGATTCCAAAGAGGCTGCAAGTAAGCGTGTTAGCAGTAAGGTGACGTTAAACTCACTCCACATGCATTCTTTCAATAGAAACTTAACGGGGTGGTGCACACGGTCCACAAATCAGCGCTGATTTAGTCCTGCTGTTTACAAGCTTTTAAAATGGACTCCCTGCTAAGACATTTGGCTGTAACCCAATGAGACGACTTCTCCACAAGAGGGCACAAACAGAGTGGAAGTGTGTCAGAGGCAGGTTTTTATTTTAGAGGTTCAGAAACATCACAAATCCTTAAAGTCTTTAAAGGTCTTAATTATTTTTAAACATTTTTCTTTCTTTTTTGATTTTCATTACAAGTAATGCATGCTTGCTTCAGTCCTTGAATTCATTTTTATGGATATGAATTATTTCATTTAAACAGAAACATTTGATTGCAGACTGAAAGACCAAACATTATCTTGTTGATTAGTTTTTTTATTTTATTTTATGTCATCACTCTTTTTGCTGTGATATCAGTGTCTTGAGGAATGTGTGCCTGGAACTTGAAAATTATCAATGCAGTTATCCATATGATGCTGAAGCTAACTATCGTCTAATGAGATCTAGCTATTATTCTAGCTAAACACAAATAATATATTGAATAAAATGTTTAACTGCAGCTAAGCTGTTTCTTCTTTGTTTCATTGTTGTCTTGACTACTGGAGGTTTACTTTGTTCAGCATCTTCAGGATTTTCACTTTGAAACGAGCCAAGCTGCCCACGAGGAACTTGACTTCTCTCACTCGCACAGAAACACACACACTGATTGCTCCTGATGATTTCAGGAGCATTTTGGGTTCATTGTCTAGCATACCAATGACCTATCAGTTAGCCTCTCTATATTTCAAGGGAACGAAGGACGCTTTACATCAGGGCAAGACAACACAGAATGAATAAACAAGAAAATAAGATACAAAATGATAGCAATGTTTGATGGGGATCATGACTTTTAATCAAGTCCTGAAGCTTTTTTTCAATTTGAGGCCTTCTTTCTTCTTTGATTTTACATGTTTGATGATTTAGGATCTCATAGCTGAAATATCATATTTTAGAATATCCATCTGCCCACCAAATGATTTTCGGGCAACGACTCTTGGACAGATAACATGTTTCCTTCCTGTCAGGTGAAAGGAGGCTATTGAGTTTCATTTAATTCAAGGCTCTGGGCATGTAATCAGGTAAATACACTATTTAGAGTAAGTACCTTGAAGTCGGAATAGGGAGCTGCATTGACATGGATGTGTACATTGTCTAGGTTTGAATTTGTCTACCACAATACATACAAGTATTTTCAACCTATTAGAAATAAATAATTCAATTTTAGTTCAATTAAACCCAGACTCACTAAATTCAAATGGTAATTTAAACATCAGCGAACATAGTGGATGTGACAGGTGTTGGTACTTAAATTCAGCTTAAGTTTAGTGTAACTTTTGCAGATGGTTGTGCACTAATCTGTGTAATCTTTATAAGATAAACATTGTTCACTTTTAGAAAAACAAATGCTGCAAAGAGTCTTTCCAAATTTCACATTTTTATTTTCCATCTGAGGTCATCTTGGGGTCGCATGCTGTGTGTACTCATGTTACCTGTTCACGTAGACATTCCATACAGGGGTTGTATCACAATCGTACCACATCCACAATGTAACTATGCCCTTTAAAATAAGATGTCTCTTCAGTTAGAATCGTCCAGACTTCCTCTTGGTTGAAAAGACTTAGCAGTAATAATTACTTTAAAAGCTCCAAAATTAAATTGTACAATGCTTCAGGTAGAAACCTTAAAAAGCATGTTAGTCAACCAGACAAGATGTTTAAGTTTCTTTTTCTAACTTTTTTATGTTTTCATATTTTCCCCATTATGTGTAATCTTGATAAAACATAGTTTGACATCACTTTTCCATACTTAGTGCAATCATTGCTTAGCATTTTACAGATTGTTATATTTAATAAAATTGTGATCATAGAAGGAAAAAAAAAAAAGGCAGGAAGGATCCTCACCAATACTTGTATTTCTCAAACATTATCGAACAATGACCTTTAAAAATGTAAACATTCAGCATCAGCTGTTCTACACTGTAGAAAAGCGACACTCAAAAAGACTTGAGGCAGAGAAGTTCAGAACAATAAAACACTTTCAAAGAAAATGAAAAGGCGAAACAACGCACAGGTCAATGACAGAAGGTCAGCCTAGAGTACAGACCACCTTACCTCTAAAAAGCCTGTGACAGGCAACCAATAAAATTCACAAAAGGGGAGTTTAAACCAACTAGTGTTCAGTCTGCTGGCGGCTCATGTAGCACAGCGCTGAGGAAAGTGGGTGATTAACTGTGAAAGGCCAGCAGATCATCACTCATATTGTTTTAGAGTCTCTCTTCTTCTCTGAGTCTGTTGCTCAGTTTGTCCAGAACAATGTTCAGCTCCATGGTCTTGTTCAACTTCAGGTAGAAGTCCTTCCTAATTGGATGAATAGCCAGCCAATCAGCTGCTACCTCTGCCAGTAGACGTATATGTTTCTCCATTTCACCTGTTCGTCAGAGATGAGAAATCACCAGTTATCTAACAGTTATATATCCATGATACAAGTTTCTAACACAAAATACTTGATTGTTATTCAATGCTTAAAAGAACACTGGCTTTCTCAGCTTCTTGTTATCGTCCCAGGCTGACTAGAGGAGATTTGAAATCAAAACGGATTTAATAATAAGACCGCAACACACACATGGGGAGAAACTTCATACTGTATATACTTCACTCTAATATCTAACATGCACCAATTAAGATGATCTCGTGTGCCATTCCTTGTGACCTTGTATTGAATCATACTAGTACATTCTATAGTGAGGTTAATGCTTTGCCATGAAAAAAAAAAAAGGCATAATGCTTTACATATTTGAATGTACATTTAACATATTTGAAGTATGAAGTACCCTGCTGAGTCTTGTTTAAGACCATAAAATGACCCAATATTCTGGACAAGAAAAGAGCACCGACCAAGGCCAGGAAATGAATTCAGTTTATATAAGCCCAAAGCTCTTATTAGTCCATATTACTCTGCAAAACAAATATCTGCCATCATTAAGCCTTTTTAACTTTCACACTGAATCTGCTCAATATTGGTGTCCAAGTGTAAGATGCATTGAGTAAGAGTGTTGTGGAAGCACTGCGAGAGCTTCACATACACACATTACTGTTCTGCCCTGCTGGCAAAACCAATTTACATTGTCACCATGTCACACTTACGTAGATGAAAGCTCAAGGGAGGACAGACCAGCGCATATTTACACACCGAGGCATTACCATCATAGTGTGAATATTACAATGCAGACGAGGTGTAACCGGTGCATAAATATTCACCTCCAACTGGCAACGCCTACATACAAAGGAAAAGCCTACTGTTGCTTGTTCATTGCCTACATCCAAATGTTTTAAATAACAGTTGACAGTGCATGTCGAAGGCACACATACACTGGTGTATTCTGCTCTCTGGACTAACCTGTGCTGAGAGCGGATCTGTAGCTCGACACCATCCTGTTACAGGCAACTTCCATGATTAGAGCCGGCTTCTTTTCTGAGACGAAAACGTTCCGAAGAATCCTCGCCAACTCAGGGAGTCGTGACATCATCAACAGGCGCTCCTCTTGGGTGGAGTTTCGGGTCATGGCAGCCTGTAGCTTCTGAGCCTCCTTTGCCCTGATCTAAAAACAACAAGCACAGAACAACACTTTGAGTCACATGATTGTTTACAATACCTTAAAAAGTCTAAACATTTTAAAACTGGCCATCCCAGCACACACCACACTGCCCCCTTTCTCCCAGATAATGGTGTACCTACCCTCTCCAGCAGAGACTGGGAAACTCCTTTCAGGGCTGTTGGAAGCTGAGCAGAAGAGGCAGCGGTTGTTTGGCTGACTGTCGGGCTCTGGGGAGATGTTGGCTCTTTACTCTCTGGCGCTGTATCCTGTGTCTTTAGAGCCAGTGAAACAAGAGCCTTCTCCATCTGAACGAAGCATGAGAACAATACATGTTGTGTTAGACAGATCACTGATTATACTCAATGACTTATGGAGTACAAGCACTTAAAATACAACAACAAAAACGACACTGAAACCGAGTAACAATTTAGACAACATATCGTTAACTCTAGTTCATGCTGTGGTAATAAATGGATGCAAACATGTAGACTTAATAGTTGTGAGCATAAATATTAGACCAATAACATGTCAGCAGATAATAAGATAGGAAATGCTATACAAGAATTTAACCAGCAACACAAAACACACTTTTGTTCTACATGTTTCTCCCTAATATGACATCAAGTTGGCCAACTCTGCAAGTAGCAAAATTTACTTAGTTCCAACTTTGTTCATTTTCAAAACAGAGAATATTCCCTGTCTCATTTGAAGATTACAACAGCACACAGATGCAGGGTTAGTACCTTGGGTGTAATGAGAGATCGAGCCTTGTCCAGAACCTCCTGAGCTGTGGACAGTTTCTCCGTGTGAGGGGGCTGAGGTAGGGAGCTGGTTTGGACACCTGGCACAGTGTCCACATTAAAGCGAGGATGCCAGCGGGTTAGTTTGTCGTCTGGAACAGACACCGGAGGAACCAGCGAGGACAGGAAGACCTGCAGACAGGAAATCGTTTGAGAAGGACAACTACCATAGTGTGCATAGTGTATATTGTTGGCTTTCAAAGCTTTCACGTGCTTACAAAGCTCGGAGCATCTGCTTACCTTGTGATGCTGTTTGACGATGGAGACCAGCTTCTGGTGGAAGATGCGTCGTCTGTCAAGGAGACAAGAGGCTGACAGGAGAGGACGGGATTCATTCTGGTCTGAGGAGGAAACACAGGGATGGGAGATTAAACATACACATAAACAGGAGCATACAAAGGGACTTGCTTACAACCAATTTTAAGGACAATGTTATGATTATAAGTGTTTTAACCAAGAGAAGGAGCAATCATGTTTTCAAAGACCGAGACAATGTGTCCTAACCAGAAGGAAAGACAGGCTCCACAGTTAGCTGGTGGCTGCCCTTCTTTATGCTGCTGTTGAAGGTTGGGATGTTCTTCTCCTGTCTAAACGTGTAGGCCTCAGGAAAAACTGTCTTTATCTGACACACGTGGTTCTCCTCAAACCGCCTGCGAGATGGACAAAGAAAGCGGCAAACATTAGCTTCTGCTACCAGAAAGAAAAGATATCTGAGAGGAATTTAAAGTGACACAACAAATGTAGTTTTTAAATGCACTGAAATGAAAAGTATGTAGACGGTTCTAACAACAGATAATAATAATAAATTAGTCTTATATAGCCCCTAGTTTTCTTACCCTTAGACTAGTCAGGTAGTCCGAATTTAAATGAAACCAACTAGGAACTTAATCACAGAGGAATACTCCATAGTTTGAATGTGGGGTGTTAATGTGGCACTGAAGGGAAAGACTTCTGATCATGCTGGGACTGAATGTTTTCGTACATCTAAAAACACCTGGATGGTGTGTGTTTTCCCTCATAGTTGACTATACAATTACATGTAAACACCTACACCAGCAAATAAATAAAAACAAGACACAGCTGAAGACAATCTCTCCGTCGTTCCACCTACTTGTGCATCATATCCTGGACTCCCTGTTTGATCTTGGTGAAGGTAGCCGTCTCACAGCGGTTGTACAGCATAGCGACCACCGTGTCCATGCTCCTGAACATCTCAGCCAGAACTTTGTACTGGTACGGCAGTGAGAGGCCAGGGGCTGCTGCCTGGGCAAGGTTGTGATATCGCTGGTATGCTGCCTGCTCCGTACTGAGGGTCAAGAGAAGGGAAAAACACAATCAGTGTGAGGAAGCAAGACTTCTGTTTATGAAAATATTTGTACCACTTGCAGAGTAGATTATTGTACCGCAGCCTTGAGT